TTTTTAAAAAGTACTTTAAACTGTATAAATAATGTAAAATTAAATAGACTTAAACAGCCAATCATACGAAAGTCTTCTTTGGATATATACTGATTAACAATCATTCCGATTCTTCGCTTTACTCCGGATATTGTGTGTTGTATACACGTGATGTCGAGAATCGCATGCAAGCCACATGAACATCCATATGCTACAATCATATGCTATAATGCTATAGTTCCCGGCGAAATTGGCACTTTATACGTATTGTCTTGTGAAATTGGCGTTTTAATGCTACGTATAGTTTATGCGTTAACCCCTGTAATTAAGTATCATGTGACATTAGGCAGAAATGTGACACTAATGCCAAGAGTGCTAAGTAGTGCTGAATAGTACTAACTATCACTAAATAGCACAGATAATACCACTAGATTTAAAGCACTTGTTATATTAACAGCACTGAATCGTACTAAGAAGTACTAAAAAGTGCTAAAGAATATATTAATAGAAACAATAGCAAAGGACTATAACGATCAAAATGTATAAAAAGCCTCATGTATCGCTCTTGTAAAAGACAGTTCGAAAACAACTCAAAAACAACTCAAGAATAATAAAGGAGTAATCGTGTCTTCATACACGAACTCGAATACTTTATTAACCAAACCATAAAACTAACAATTCCCAGAAAAGCATAACTGCAATAAACCCTATACTTTATTTAAGCATAAATCGGAATTTGGTTATCAACCGACTAACATACCCGTCGCTATAGTAAACCGTTATACCGAACTTATAAGAGGTAGTTTCGGGTGTAACATTATGTAATGTATGTACGTACAAGTTACAATACTGAATATTAAAGTTTGAGGCCTAGTACATACGTACGTACGTACGTACGTCTTTAGAAATTGTCACATTAACGTTTGCTCTACGTATCATAATTACTTTATTATTTCTATTATGATTATTTGAATGGTATACCGGTAGTTAGAATTGGATTTGTTCGATTCCGACTGAACCGTATGGTTTTTTTTTGGACCGGTCCGAACCGATTCCGGCTAACCCGAAAACAATGTAATGGGTTATACCGTACGTACGTATGTAATAATTGTTTACGATCATCGAATATAATCTTTTACAAAAATAACAAAATTGTCAAAAAAAATATATATATATGGTGCAACCTTCGGCGTTTGAAATCTGATCCGATAAAGATATCTATTCTTATTATATATACGTATAATGTCGGGGATGATGCAGATGTTGAAATTTGGGGTCTTAATTTGAAAATATAAACCCTACTAAAATCCACCTATACTCTTTTATTATAAACACTAGCCCTAACTTCTAATCGAACTATGGAAAAAAAAACCGAACACCTCCAAAAAATTTTTAATTTTTCATAATAAAATAAGTCAAAATTTCAGCATCATCCCCGACATATAATAATATATTACACATTCGATATAGTCTGGACCGGACTTTTTAACCAGTCTAGGTCTCACATGATATGAATAGATTTAAATATGGTATGTATGTTAAATCAAATTTGTAAATGCTTTTATTTGTTTTTTTTTACGCCATATAGACCGGACAGGGACTAATCCAGATGCGCCATTTAAAATCCCTATATACATACACGAAATTATGACTTGCTTTTTGCTAGTACGCCAAAGGGTAGCGTCTCTTTTTAAGTTAAAAATTAAAAGGTAAATTTTACTTATATACAATTTCCCGAATGTTTACGATAAAATTTTCCTATAGACCGATATGTATTTTGAATGAATTTATTTTAGTATAGGTAATATATATATATATTCGAATTATTCATTAGATAATTCTTTATTCGATTATTCGCCGAATACGAATATTATTCGAATAACGAATACGAATGCGAAGCTCTACGTGATTCAAACGTGATCAATAATAAATTGTATATGATACTTAAATTTCTCACTATGCATGTCACTTAAATGCTTAATATCTAAACAAAGATTCTTTATAACTAAGAAAAAAAAAAAGATCAATAATCAAAGTCATTGATAATACATGTCTGCACGAACGAATTTTTACTAATTATACGAGTATCCTTTATCCGTCATGCAATTTGTGGTCGCGTTTTGCAAATTTCGGCTAACTAATTTTTTGTTTATCATTATGTTTATGGTCAACAGGAGAGATAACCCTAAGTTTCAGCACAATAAATTTAAATATCCGATTGTCTGAACGGATACGTAGGCGGATCCAACCTATATTCGGATTTTTGATCCAGGAAAAATTTTTCATATTACTATTTATGAGATTCAAGTTGAAATTTGGAAAGTGGCAAGTTTCATTGTATCAAGATTGGTTGTACAAAATTATGCTAGATCAAGTTTATCTTCTCACTATAGTTATAACATTTAGTTTTCGATTCGTCAAATTACTGAGGCAAAAAACCAAATATCAATTAACATAGTATGCAATGGTCATGCAAAGCAGTTAGTTTATTTGTAAAGCCAACGGGTACATTGATTTAATAATAAAAAAAGACAAATTTACAGTATATATGTGTCAAATATACAGTTATAACAAACGAAAAATTAACATTCACTACCATATTTTTCTAGGAGAAAAAAAAAGTTAGCTTGAATATTACATTATACAAACCAGTCAAGAATTAAATTTTTTTTACCATCGTATAATTTTTCAGCAGACTCTTTTGCGTGCTTTTTTGCTTTCATTTTATCAAGTTGATCTAGACCTTTTGTCTCAATGAGTTTTTCTGCTTCAGCGGCAGCAAATGCTGCGAATGCCTATTATTATAAAATAAAAAATAAATATATTAACATACAAATACAAATAATTCAGTAAACTGGAATGATACGCACCTCTTTAGCGAAAGCAAATTTATCTTTTTGTCCAGTTTCTTCTTCATGCTTTTTTTCATAGTGCCTCATGGCTTCAAAAGCTGCGGCACCAGCGATTATTTCATGAGTAAGATGTCCCTTGTGTTTTTTTTCTTGGTATACATCTTCATGATGTCCTCCGAGAAAATCCAAAATTCCTAAAAAGCAAAATAAAGAATTAATAATAAGCAGATATGACTGAAAAAAATAACGCTACGATATTTACCCATGATTGGTTTTTTTTGATTTAAAAAAGCGTGAGGTAAAATGTACGTAAAGATGAAAATTTAAAACCCTTAACGTTAAGCAATTCACGGAAGCTTTTATAGAGTTTCAAATGTCAAGGTCGATTTGATAAAACTAAACATGCACCATCTACGTAGTAAGACGTGGTACATTCAAATAAGAAACAAAGAATATAAAACGTTATTTCTACATCCTAATATTGACACTTTCTATTTGAAGTCATTGTAAAGCAAGATATATTATCTCTATTTAGCGACGCCCTATATCAAAAGATGAATGTCGTACTCGTGAAAAGCAGATGCTGTGGGACATAATTCTTGTCAATGACGATAAAAATGTGCCAAGAAATATTTATTGTTTCGATTCACTAACGCTAATGCTAATATATAAATGCACTAGTTATGACTATGAGAGACGGTACACATAAGGCTTATGTGTTGTCTAAGCCTTGATGTAAATGGCAAGAAATACACCCTAAAAAATATTTTGTGTTGGTGCTACACGGAATTTTAAGGTTAGGGTTGGGATTTTTAGTTTAATTATTCCATTCTAATCTAAGTGGATTCTGAACTCTATTATGATTCCATTCCCACTTACAACATATAAATAAATACAGTCACCTACATTAAATTTTCGTTCAGTTTCATTAGGTTGGGCAGGAGTTATGCAAGAAGTTCGATTTTCGGATTTGACCGAAAATCGAATTTTAAATCGCTCCAAATTTCACTCACATACCTGAATTTTGACAGGGCGCAGGATCGATTTTACTGTCACGTGATTCTCGGAAAACAAATGTTGTTAAGTTAAAAACTT